ACGCTGACCTGCAGACACCACGGTCACAACCCATTCGAGGCTCCTCGCTGACCAGCTGGGGCCACAAAACCCGCTCGGCGGGCCGAGACTCTACCCGCTCCCCCCGGCCTTCAGCAGTGGGGTACGGGGGGAGGAGGGCAGCACGAGCAGGAGTGGGAGAGATCCAAGCTGGGTGCTTGTAACGAGAACGGGTAATCCTCGAGATGTCTGATACCTCGTGGAAGAGCATCTGATCCCTGTGGCCTCATGCAGGATATTCCTGCATGATAATAGATGCTACAACTCCTCCGGGTGAGCAAAGGCCCCAGCTTTGGGGTAGTAAATACCAATATAGCGTGGCTGTTTTAATCTGGGGCTTAGCTCAAGGCTTAGCTCAGCTTAGCTTAGCTTGGGCTGTTCTGCCGGCCAGGCTCAGCACGGAGGTATTAGCGGCTCCAAGCAGCAGTGTCACAGAAGGAGGAGCGAGGAGGGATGGGGAGAGATGGTCACACATCATGCAGTGCGGAGGGAGGAAACTCACGGATACTCCTGACGGAGGCCCGGGACGGCTTGTCGGATCGGAAAGAGGAGGAAGCTGCTTCCAAACAAAAAGAGACATGCTTAAAACAACGTGAACTGGAGAGAGGGAAAGGCAGGGCCCAAAGGGAGGATCTGTTAGGAGAAACAGGGCAGCCCACATGCTGTGTTAGAAACCCGCCTGCCTTGTTGGGACCAGGGAGGGACGAATGCAGCATGATGGAAGACGGGGAGGGAGCGAGAGATGCTTCGTTTTTTCCTGTCTGCCACTGCTGGCGCTGGGTGGGCACTACAGGCGAGCGGCCCGGGCTGGAGACCCCGCTGGGACATCCCCAAAGCCGATATAACGAAGGCTGCTGGGCCCCAAGAGAAAACAGCCCGAGTATAGAGGCATTTCTGACTTTTTCAGAGCCCGGGCAGGCACATCCAGCACACCAGAAACATCATTTCCAGGCAGAGTAGTTCCCCGCCGTCCCCAGGAGGCTGCTCCAGAGGCACCTGTGTGCACACACACGGGACAACTTTACCTGAGACTTTGGGGGTAGGATTGCAAGAGAAGCCCCCGTTAGACTGGTCAGTGTCTCCGAAGTCATACGTCTCCCTGGGTTTGGGCTTGTATTCCCGCTTGGGACGCGAGGAGGCCTCCCTCATTCTGGAAGAAGGAAGAGAAACGTGGATATATTGAAATATGAAACAGAATATGATGAGATCAACATGATATTTATTCTCCTTGGTGGCTACGCAGGGGAGCAAATTGGTTTGTAGACAAGAATCTGCACAACCCTCTGCGCTGGGGCATTTTGAAGATGGATGTTGCCCAGGGTTTGGGACCTGCTCCTTAGAGGGCCACAAGCCCCAGGCTTTGCTACGGAGGTGTCTCGGGCAATTCAGGCCAGCAGAGGACACTCGTGCTGCAGTTCGAAAGCCCACACTTGGAAGGATCCTCCCAGCTCTTCTTAATTCAACCCAGACACTGGGAGTTTCTTCCACAAGGAAAGAACAGCAGGGCAGCATCGCCAAATCGCCCTGAGAAGCGGAGAGGCTGCCCTGGCTCTGTCCAAACCACCCCGCGCCAGGCTGAGGAAGGCATGTCCCCAGCTCCGCAGGGGAGCCCCGGATGCAACGAAGCCACCTCTCCTTCCTCGGCCAGGGTTTGGGGAGATCCTTGC